CGTTAATGAGTCCTATTTTATTCTCTTATGCGCTTCACGCTTGTCCGCTGACCGATGTGCCATCGGTGTACCATAGGTCCGTATGTCGAGATTCTCCATTTTTCACGGCTTTGTTTCGGGGCGCTCGTTCTTTAAAGTATCTAGGTAAGGATGTGGGTTTGCTAACGCACTCGCGCCAATTCTTGAGTATCGGCATCAAGATTTTCCACGAGGTTTAATATATTTAGTCGATGTCGACTTAGCATTTCCATGCCTTCGGTCAGGTATCTATTTCATGGTTAGGTTGTGATGGTCTAAATACATGAACTTACGAACGTGTGGGATTCAAGTTTCGCAATCTGATTGACTTTTGTTTCTTCCGTGAGATTTTGGTGTCGGTTCGAGTTTCGGTGTGCGGCGATCTTTAACATTTTATCTGTTACATGCATTTTCTGAAGCTTTCCGTGGATATTAATTTGTTGTCCCATGCTTAACCTGAGGTATTATCTAACCTCAATCTTAGCTGGAGGTAAATTTATGGGATGGTTGTCCCCGGCTTGACACCACCCATCGTTGATGTGGTTACTATCTGTGTTCGTACTCTGTAAACTGTTGGTTTGGTCGATGAGAGGAGAATACTGGATAGGCTTACATCGGGCCTGACCCCTACAAAGTTCACGAACTTTATGGGTCTCACTGCTTTTGGGTTTCGTCTTCAGTGATAGTCAAATGGATTAGCGTCATCTTCGGGTGGATTACGCTTATGCTGGAGTGATTAAACTGTCTGAATGGCTGAAGATCAGTCTGATCAGGTCCGGACTCAACCTAATTCGGTCTCGGTCCATCGAGGATCATTCTTCCGCATGCCGAAGCATGCGGAAGAATGACTAGTTGTACGTTGCCTAAACAATCCATCCTCAGATCAGGCTCTGGCAGTGTTTCGCCCATACTGGAATAACCTGAACGGTTGGATCCATTCCAGGTCTAGATCAGTTTGATATACGAAGTGCCTTCAGATTGTTAGCTAAACCTACACGTGAACGTTTGTTGGCAAATGGCCTTCTTCCGCGCATGGTCAGCTTCAGGTTAAATCCACACGTGTCTTCCAATCGGCGCCTCTTTGCATTCCAAGGAGCCTGTAATTTTGGTTTTTATGTGGTCAGGCTGTAAATTTGCTTGCTAGCGCGTTTAGTAGCATCACGTGGCTCGATGAATAGTCGGGTGTTACGTCATTGCAGCACCAGCGCCTGTTGGCAGCAAATGTCCATGGATTCAGTTCTGTCTCCTCTTGTACTCCACCTTTGAAGAACCTCTATTGCAGACTTGAGTTGCTTTTCACTCATTGTGTAGCCTCGGACCAGTAGCCCGCTAGCAAAGTAGAATAACCGTACGCAGAGTAGGACAGGTTTATTATGACTTATTCGCTATCAGTCGTGTCAAGCGTATGATCAACAAACTAGCAATGGAATTAAGAGCCCATCAGGGTATGGCCCATGTCGGCCGGCGGTATTTGCATGGACAAGTGCGTGAGATTAATCTATCTGAATAGGTCAATCGATAACATCTGGAACGAGCAAATTAACGATGCGCAGGTTTGCAGAACGTACTCACTTAAGCCACAGGCGCGTATGCACCCAGCTCTGGTCGTTCCCCGAAAACAAAACGGTCATTTGGTTTTGGTGAAAGTACGGGCTTACGGACCGCAATCGGTTCGTCACAACCGGTCAGGGCTTGTGGAGTGTCATTGTGCTTCTTCGTGATTTTCTAAACCGTCATTTAACCCTGTCGGCCGGGCTCAAACGCACATGGCTCGTGTGCCCCTTTTCCATCGCCATGTTCTAAGGCAGTTTGCGTTCTGGACTGCTTGGACAACGTACTGGGTACCCAGGGGCGCTCGTGGGGCAAGTTCGTAATAACTTTAGGAGCAAATTCTATTTCCTCCGGTAATCCGGCTTGTTTGCCTCTGCATGCGGCACATGTTTCCTCGCATCAATTCACGTGGACCAGGGGAAATTAAGTCTAATCGTCTCCTCAATCTTTGCCCAAACATCACCTCTCCCGGAATTTTATTGATAGATTCTAAAGGTGATATCCAATGTGCAAACATATCTGTTAAGTTTGGTCTGTAATGCGGCTGATCGCTGCTTACGCAATCCGTTCTTAACTGTTTGGACGGCTCTCCCACCTCTCCCGGCCATTGGATGATTGATGATAAACTGCTGGTGTGATATGATGGGCACCGTTACTTTTCAGAAAATCCTTGAATGCTGCACTGGTAAACTGGGGACTGTTGTCTGTACATAATGTTTTAGGCGCTCCGTATATGGCAAAACTCGAACTTTGTTGATGTTGCACTTGGAGATAACGTTAGGTACAGAGTGAACGTCAATCCATTTTGAGTAGGCGTCTATTACAAGTAACATCTTGATGAGTCCGAAGTAATCCGTATGCACGTACTGCCAGGAATCTTCCGGCAGTGCCCATAAGTGTATTGATCCCGTTTATTTTTTTGGTTTTGTTGGCAGTAGTCACATCGCACAAGTTGCTCGGTGTCTTGGTCCAGCTGAGGCCCCCAAGCGTATGATCTCGCGAGGGCCTTCATTTGTGCTACACCTGGTTGAGCGTCCTGTAGTTCTTTCAGCAACTTGTTCCTAACTGATTCCGGGGCGATTATGCGAGAACCCCTTTGTAGGCATCTGTCATGCAGTCTCAATTCAGTTCAGTGTTTACAACCATGCACTTTCGTGCGCCGGTTTTGGTTGCCCATTTGGATAAAAGAGCAAAATGAAGGTTGGAATGTCGAAGCAAATTCAAGCGAAAAATGGGGAATTCATATAGAGTGGTGTTAGGAGAATAACGAGCGCCACTGCTTGCGACACCCAGCCATATCACTCTGTGTAGCTAACCATCGGTGACCATCATCCCGAGGTCCCCAGCCAGGGAGCCTAACGGGGCCTATGTGACCTAATCTCCTGGTTTGGGTTTTCTTACCCTCATTCCAGGTCTTAGTTTGACCACCCTTAATCTTTTTCTAATCGCTACCAGCCTTGGCAAACATCGTTCGCCGTGGCAACCTATCTGGCGACATACGTAACACATGTCCCAACCAGCTAAATCTATGGAGGTCGATCACTTACTCTAGTGGACGACCGCGACTGCCTAAAACTACGCCTAACCTCAGCATTGCTAGTCCGGTTACCTCACCAGACACGTGCAATGCTACGTAGATAGCGGTGTTCGAGCACCGACAATCTATTTTTATCATGTTCCCTTAGTGGCCAAGTCTGCACTGTAGAGCAGGATTGGCCGAACTGCTGCAGCATACACTCGACCCTTCACATACAGCCGAATATCGCGACGGCACCACAAATGTCTCAAGTTGGCAAATGCCAATCGAGCCTTTTGTATGCGTGCCGACACTTCATCTGTGATGCGTCCGCCAGGTGAGATATAGCTACCCAGGTAGCAAAATTTGTCTACTTCCTCTACTACTTTCCCAGTTAGGGTGAGACTGGATACTGGATCAACCCAATCTTGTAGTAGCATTTTACACTTTGAAGATGCAAAACGCATGACAACACTAGCACTCAAACTATCCAGAAAAGCTTGCAACTTACCTGGATCTTCACTTAGTAGCACAATGTCGTCTGCATACTCTAGATCAGACAGTCTACCACCCGGCAGTAAATCGATAACGTTATCCTTGCACGAGGATAGGGCTGCTTCAAGAATTTAGTCGATGACATAGTTAAGGACTTGATTCAGAACGACAATTAAAGTAAAGACCAAGTTCCTCCGTAACTTTCACTGGCCGGCCGTGCAACGTCATCCGTTTCACTTGGGAGAATACGGGGTCTCTGTCCGTTCCGTGTTTAACCTCCATGCTAGATGTTCGAGAGTTACCCAAAGGATATCCCAGCCTAGGTTTAATTCTTTGTGCTCCGTACTTAGCTCTCTCCCTCTTCGGACCTGTAATAATCTCTCAAGGAACTTGGATGTCGTTCACCAAAGGTCGTTGCCAAATAGCGCTGTAAGTAGTGTACCACGAAATGAACTGCAGATCATAAAGCTTCGTCAATCACTGAATCTGGGGGCTTTCAACGTGAGGACTCTGATGCAGGTAGGTCTACAGTCCCGTCTGGCGCGTACAATGGAGCCCTTAGGGATCGATATTTGTTGTCGGAGACTCGCATTCAGAATCCTACTACTAAAGGCCACTTCAGCGCGCCAAATTTGTCCTCGAGGTACGTTCTCCGCACATGTGGCAGCGACGAAGCCCGTTCGGTAGGTCAGCGCGGGGTAGGTATAGCATTCGGTAACAAGGCTGACTCCTCTCTTATCGATTGGATTCCCGTCAGTATTCCTTTATGTGCAGTTCGTCGCCAGGGTTCAGTCAGCGTCAGGGAAGCAGCACCAGAAGCTGTTTGTTCGTCGTATTGGCATATGCACCGACCAGTGGCAGTTCTGATACCCAAAAGGACGCTTTCTACGATGAACTTACCGATCTCAATCAGACGAGTCAGATCTCCGACATAGTTGTACTTGCAGGTGACTTAAACGCGCAGGCTGTAAAACTGAATGCATCGGAAGCTTGCCAGTGGTAGTTGTGCCCTACCCTGCCAAAGAACGGATAACGGCGATCGACCCCTTCAGTTCTGCGCAGACAATCCAGTACCAAATTCCGACACAGCTCCCAACTGACGACACTGTAGCGCTCCAGTTCAATTGGTACACTAACTCATATCGACCACCTGGCAGTAAGGTACCGTTGGTTTGGCTCAGTGCGTTGAGTCTGATCACACATTAGTTTTGATGGAATTCACTCTTCGACTGTCTGGTCGGCGACAAAACCAGCAAAGTCGTTTAGCTCATAGTCACCTGTCTGTTCCAGTAATTCGTGTACGCTACGAATCAGAGCTGGTGTGTGGGCTAAGCGCACCTCAACATGGTGATGTAGATGAGCAGTGGGATCAGATTAAACGAGCAATGCATCCTGCGGCGAACGTTGCTTGTAAGTCTGAGCCTCAGGCCCGACGGAGGCATTGGGTATCTGATAAGTCTAGCCCTCATCAGTGAAGCACGACAAATCCCGATCTGCCAGGATCAAAACGGTTGGTTGGCGTCTGCAACGTCGGCTGACGAAGAGCCTCAAGAAGAATGGTGAAAACTGGTGGGCAACAATAACTGCTGAAATGGAAGTAGCATCTACATGAGGGAATAGTCAGACTGTTCCGACTGGTACGCAATATGGGAGGTCGGCAAACTCCAGTTGGGGAAACAGTCTGCAATAAGCTGTGATCAACTACTTGATCACTGGGCGGAATACTTCAGCGAGCAGTTCAGCTGACCTGCCGCTATCCAGGTTACTTCATCTGTACCTGAAGCTCCGTGTGCAGTGTCGTGCGATTCTGCAGCAGAAACANTTGCATTCACGCTCTGAAGCGAGGAAAGACAGCGGGACGAAATGAGCTCCCAGCCGCTCTTCAAGATGGGGGTGGTAACCTCCTAAGATCCATTACTGCGGTACTGCACCATATTTAGAGGTAGGAGCGCATCTCTTCATCTTGGGGCGAATCACTGATCGTTCCCATTTTCGAGAAAGGATCTCGCAACGATTGCGGAAACCACTGCGGTATAAGTTTGATCCCGATCGTCACCAAAGTGCTAGCTTCGGTCATACTTCGACGTCTGACTCCTTCAAGAGAGACCAGCATCCGTGAACAGCAAGCCGGATTCCAGCCTGGCCGTGAAAGTATTGATCAAATTTTTACGTTGCGTCAGATCCTTGAGCTGCGTCACACCCACCGTCGGCCAACGATCACAGAGTTCCTTGACCTGAAAGGAGTGTTCGACTCAGTTAAACGCGAAGCTCTGATGGGCTTCCTTCTTCGAAAAGGAATATCCTAGAAATACGTTAACCTACTGAGGTCACTGTACTCACGGACCTTCGATCGTGTAAAGGTTTACAACAATCTAAGTAGGCCGCTCGTCACCATCAGTGGCGTCCGTCAATGATGCCCTCTTTCGCCGTTTCTGTTCAACTTCGTGGCAGACGAAATACTGGAGAACGCACTGAGTGGTCTCCAAAACGTGAGATGTTGAATGGGCTAGTGAAGAAAAAATGTGCGATTTGGAGTACGCTGATAACATCGTCTGTCTGTTCGAGTGTACAGAGCACGTGCAAAACGCACTTGATAAACTAACAAGTGCAGTTGAGGCATTTGGTATGTGCTTTGCACCTTCAAGGTGCAGTGATGCTGCAGGACTGGGTTTCGCCTACTCCCGCATTGAGACTAATTGGCCAGGAATTAATTGTAATGGATTACTTTTCCTACTTAGGTAGTTGCGTTACCAATGATGGAAGCGCAGCCTAAGAGATAACCGTCCGCATTACCAAGACTCGAGTAGCATACGCAGGACTGAAACACCTTTGGCGTAGACGCGACGTTTCACTGAAATGGAAGGGTCGTGTATATAGTGCCACCGTTCATTCAGTTCTCTTTATGGTTTGCGAGTAGAAGATATCTGTTGACTAGAAGTTTTTTGTGTTTGGGAGTCTATCAGGTATAAACCTAATGGCACACCGAATTCAGATTAGTAGGCTTCGCTCATGCCAAGCTGTCGTCTGCCGCACCGCGGTTTATTCACTGTAGCTAATTTGGGCTGGAGGAAACCACATAAAGGTCAACAGATGACGTGGAGACGAGGCATGAAGGAATGTACAGAGCCCTTAGGTAGAGTAGGTGTCTCACGCCTTCCATGTTGGGGTCCGAAAGACTCCACAACTGGTTGGTTGGAGACATTGAGGGATATGGCAGCGAACTGACAGCAGTGGCGTTCTTGTTTTCGTTTCTTATCAGGCCAGAATGCTTGAAACGGTGTGTATACAGAATTCGATTGCGTACTTTGTGTGTTGCCCATAGAGGTTCACCTTCCCCCTCAAACTAGGTCCAATCGCTGTTCAACTAACAGTTTACCACTAATCTTTTATGCATTGCGAGTTTGGGCATTGATCAGCGAAGTTCACTTCAATTTACTTCGCTGTACGATGATGATGATGTGTTCCTTGAACTAAAAGGAGCCTTTAACTCAGTTGTCCGCGAATCCCTTATGGGTTAGCCTCGTCCTAAAGGAATACCCCAGAATCATGCGTAACTCTGCTTGCGTACTTCTGGTACGGTAAGGGTTTACTGCTAGCTGAGTAGGTTGTTCAAAACTAGCAGTGGTGTTCGTCAAGGGTGCCCCATTTCATTATTCCTATCAATTTCGTCATGGAAAAAATACGGGGGAACTAAGTGGTCTCCAAAATGTAGGTATTGAATAGGCAGCCGGAGAAAAGCTATGCAACCTAGAGTACGCTGACAGCATCGTTTACCTGTTCGAATGTATGGAGAACGCCCAAAGCGCTCTTGTCAGACTAGCAAGTTTTGTTGCTCCGTTCGGCAGCGATCAGTGGAGTTCACCTCAATGTATTTCGCTGTCCGACGATGATGATCAGCTTGTGCTTTGCACCTTTAAAGTACAAGGTGATACTGAAAGAATGGGTGTCCCCGAGTCCCGCTCTTTACTTTTTACTCTACTACCACTGGGTCCTTGGAAAGGATAAGCTGGCCCCATGAATGTCTCTGATGGCCGCTGTCCATGCTTGACTGTTGGCTACAAGGTTCTTGCAAATGTTAATTCAGTTTGTTTTCCATCGGCGAGTGCTGTACACCATCCGAAGACCAAGTTAGTCGACGTCTTCGAATATAGTGTCCAGCCAGGTCTTTAATTGCCCCCTTGTCGGCGGCACCAGCCAGGACATGGTGTCGGAGCCAAGACAGTACTGGTAAAAGTGTCGTCGGGCCTGAGGAGAACATGGCCCAGCCATTGCAGTCGGCGGCGTTGTATGTGCGTTGAGAGACGGGCAACGTGGCATCGATTTCTGAGGTTCGAATTTGAGACCTTATCCCGCCAGTTTACTTTCAGGATGAATCGAAGACACCAGTGATCGAAGACCTCCAGTCGTCGGATGTCCTCAGCTCTCAGTGGCCAGGTTTCGCAGCCGTACAATAGGACTGGTCGAACTGCTGTGGCAACACTTTGAGCTTGGTTTTGAGGCTGATCTCGTTCTGGCGCCATAGGGTTGTTCGGAGCTGCAGAAACGCCGTTCGGGCCGTGTCGATGCGCCGCTTTACATCATCTTTGGCTTGTCCATTGGGCAGGATGGTGGACCCAAGGTACTTGAAGTCTGATACGATTTCCACTGTCCGACCATCCAGTTGCAGAGGATGTTCCGCTTGATCAGGTGGAGTAGCGAACATCTTAGTTTTGTTAGGAGTAATCTCAAAGCCGATCTCAGTGGCAAATCTTTTGATACGGTTGAGAGCTGTTTGCAAGGCGGTCATGGTCCTCTTTAAGTACTATTACGTCATCGGCGAATTCGGGGTCAGTAATCCAGCAATCCACGGAAACTTGGACACCTTGGTAACCTTCCATTGCCCGAAGCAGAATCCAATCAACGGCGAAGTTGAACAACACTGAAGTTGAACACACATGCAACATCTACGCGGTAGTCGTGTAACGTGCGCATAGTCACTGCCTAACTCCCAATGTCCAAGAGGGTTCTCACTTTCCAGCATCCCACGTAGAGGTGCTTTCTAAGTTGGAGAAGTTGGGGAGGTCCAGTTCGCATTCTTGACACCCCGACCACTGGAGGAGCGCGGGGAACGTCGCTTACCGGGGTAACAAAGTTGGCAGAAGACAATCATGGAGGTACTTGGGATTTTGGTACGAGAAACGCCTCCAGTGTCACTCGGCCTTTTTATTTTGAGGGCGCACCTCTAGTCTCGCTCTGAAACTAGACGGTCAAGTATTAGCTGAAGTTGTCTGCTTATCGCACTCGAGTAGCTGCGTGACCAACGACGGTAACACGTCAAAGGAGATAACCACACCCATTTCCAAAGCTCGAGCAGCGTTCGCAGGACTAAAACACCTGTGGCAATGACGTGACGTTTCACTGCAGTTGAAAAGTCGCGTATACTGCGCCACTTTACGATCAGTTCTGCTTTACGGTTGTGAAAACTGGAATTTTTCGGGTAAAAGACATCTGTCGCCTAGTGGTTTTCGACAGTCGATGCTTGCGTAGATTGGCCCAGGTGGGATGGAGCGAGCGGGTTAGTAACCTAGATGTAAGTCGGTTGTTCTGAGAATGCCTCGAGAAAGAACTCGCTATCGTATCGACTTCAGCTCAATAGGCTCCGTTGGTTAGGGCACGTTTTGGGCATGTCTGACGGTCGTCTACCGTACGGCACTTTATCTGCAGTGGCCGCTGCAGACTGGAAAAGCAGAGGGTATACACTTGTGCAATTACTTCCCACCTTTCGGGTTGAGGTTCCGAAGCGTCCATTAGAGGATCGAAGCTGCTACATCTAACTGAATGGGTCTTTCACCACATGGGACATGGGTGGACGTATTACGGAGTTGCGACGGTTGTTTAGCATTTTTCAACATGCAACCCTCCTCGAATGCATGTTAAAGATCAAGATTGTACTTCTCCAAAAGTCTGGCGAATGTTATCATACATTAGTCCTGGGGTGAGGACATTGCGGAGAGCCTCGTCATGATGCTTTTCAGCAGAAACGGACAAGTTACAGCCGACAGCGAGGCTGCACAGATTCTTGTGTGGTTCTAGCTAATATATGGCACGCAGATACCTCGTTCTTCGGTTTGATATACTAAATTTCTATGGTTCGTAGCAGCTCCTCATAGGCTGAGCAATAGATAACTTGTCGGTAAATTTCCGAAGAGATAAACTTGATAGAGCGTTTTCTTGTATCAACGTTCAGCATCTCTACCGTTGAAAGAAAATCGTCAAAGGTGTCCTGCCAGTGGATCCATTGCTCAGCTGCTGTAAGAGAGTCAGGATCAGCGTCAAAGCGCTCGTACGAGAGACGTTCCATTGTTAATTTTAAATTTTTTATTGCACATAATGTGAGTTTTAGTGAAAAAGGAAAAATCTCCATCGGCAAATAGCATACTGTAAAATGGAGAGAAGAAGAACATTGAAGATACAGTTTATTGATTTCGCGTTTAAAAAGTGTAAGGTTGCAAGTGATCGGAGGCATTGAACGTCATGAAAGCAAACCGACAGCAGCGGCGATCTTGCTGTCACTTCTTATCAGATAAGAATGCTTGAATTAGTGTCTGTGCACAGTTGGACTGTGTATTCTGTGTGTTGATCATAGAGGTTCGCTTTCTTTTCCCTTCTCCAAAAGTAGGCCCAATCCCTATCCTCCTTACACATTCACACTTACGTTGTATGCAATATGAGTTTCGCACCAATCAGTGAGGTTTGCTTCACTATATTGCGCTGTACAATGATGATGATGATGAAGGTTCTAAGTTAGGGGAAAGACAGAAAGTCAGAGGGTGTTCCACAACTTGGCAGTTCGAGGAAAAAAGAAGATTGAAAAAGAGAAGTATGACATCTTGGAACTGAAATCTGATAAGGATGACTAGATGTCTCTGTACGGGATGAGCGGATAAAAGTTGCTGGAAGAGGAACTGCCGAGCCAAGTTCCGAAGAACAAAAACCAAAGTGGTAACGGTAGAGCAGGGATAATGGAGCAACTGCCCGATGATGGGCTACTGACTGCAGACTGGATATTAGGGAGGGATCATCGGTTGGCCGGATTGCCCTTCGTTGAACACGATCAAGAAGTGTAAGAGAAGAAGCCCCACCCCACACGACTGCGATATTCAAGAGCAGGGCGGATTTGAGCTTTGTACAATAGAATAGGATGAGCTGGACTTAAAAATGTCGGTCGCGAAATAAAAAGCAACCTTGCGCGCTGCACGAGATGGAAGCTGAGCTATAACAAGAGACCAGCATAAAGTATAAATTATGGGGTGTCAAAGAAGAGAAGGAGAAGAGAGGAGAGTCTGTGGAACGCAATTGAGAGGAATCAAAAGATAACTGGGAGAGGGGGAGGGAGGATGATGTTTTAAAGAAATTGAAAGAAGAGAGGTTTTAGAAC